CAGCATCTGGAAAGCTAAAATGTTGTAAAAAGCTTAAATTACATTTTATTCCTCAGGCTTTAAACACAAATTGAGAATTATTCATATTAAACTTACTTCCCATACCTCAAAAGTGGAATATAATATAGCACAGGGCAGTGGCAAACAGGCAAAATCCAAATTTTTGCACATGGGAATAATCAGACAGAAAATGTCATATAACTTTTGGGGACACTAGATGGTGAAAAATTTTAAAGAGTAAAGGAAAATCTCCCCCTTTCAAATGATTCTAATTTCATGGTTTTAACATTCCAACTAATAGCAAATACAAAGATGAGATCAAATCTAGTGACTAGGATCAGTATGCTGTGAAATTTTACTTCAAGACCAATAACAACAACAATAAAATATTCTCTACAACAATTTGGAAAACCAAAGCCTCAAGAAATGGTAAGAAAATTAGATTGCTTAGGTAACTAGTAAAATAATTAGACTTGTATGGCATATCTTTAAACATTAGTTGAAGGTTTCATGAAATTCTCCCATGATAATATATTTTATGCAAAATGCCTGTAAACATATATTTATAACAAAATAATTAAAATTAGTGTCTGCAAGGCTTTCTGGAGCACAGGAGTTTTCAGTGTGCAAAATATTTTTACACATGCTCATACGCCCCTCACAACAACCCTGTGAGGTAGGCAGGGAAGAAAGTGTCATTTTTATTTTGTTATTCCAAAGCCACGAAACTCTCAACTTTCAAGATTGTGTCCAAGGAAAAGTGTGAATCTAATATTTTTATGCCAAATCCTACATATTTTCCTGTAGATACCACAAGTGTAGGAACTAATCACATAGTGAAATTGGAAGAGTCTGAATGTGTGTAAAGAATGAAGGTAATTCAACCATGAGTCTATGAAGCCAGTGTTCATAAAAGGGCAGGGTTTTTTTCAGGCTACGATGTTACCAGGTGAAGCGCATATGTTGGATAAGTTTCCATGACATAAATCAGTAAGTAGACTGCAGTATAAACTGATCAGTGAAACTTTGGACAATTAAATTTAGTTACAGAAATGATTAAAATAGCCAATTTACACGTGCAAACTAAAG